TTTATGGCTTATTATTTAGCTATCTTACCATGACCGATGTAACATCGCAACCAAAGAAAAAATGTCAAATTAACCAAATCATTACTGTACCATGAATGCACCTATCTCCGACACTTCACACAAAAAATAACTCTTGCACGCCTTGCGTGCCTATGTTTGCACAAAAGCCTTCAATTATTAAGTTCCTCAGTCTCGTTAGAACTCCTACAGGTTGGCTGCCTTTCCTGCAAATAGTGCTAATGTGGTCCTTAAACACAAGATTTTGTCCGTTGATACCCCAAGCAGTTTCAGGCAATCGGTGGATTGAACTTCTTTTTCATCAATGATAATTCTCATAGAGTCATTGCGTTTTCTACCAAGTATTAAGGTTCGATACTTGTCATAATTCCCTTTAAGGAAATTGGAACTGCACCAGTTGAAAGCCACTTCAGCACATACTGTCAGATTAGCTTGAACATCATCTAAATTGCTAATCATATCATAGAACTGGTAATCATCTGCATACATTCATACATGTTGCGGTGTGTACTAATATGATAAGTTAAATCATTCTGGAAATGGTCAATAATAATGGGCCAAATGCAGAGCCCCCGAGGTTATCCTTTTGACAACCTCTCCCAGGAGCTCACTTCTTGTTCCAGGTTAACTCTGCTGAAGCGATGGGTAAAATGTGAGTCAACAAGTCTAATACTGTTGTTGTTAACACCATCAGCTTTCAGTTTGGTCAGCATAAGAGAATTTTGAATTTTGATTTCTGTTTGATTTCTCTGATAAAGAAACATATATTAGCACTAACATTTCGGGGATTTTATCTTAGAGTACGGTGAGACTGAAAGGAATAAAATATAAAAAGCAAAACTGTCTACAATTCTCCAAAAACCTAATCAAAAATTTTCACTAAAGTTCAGTTAGCTCAATTGTGCTTTGAACAACCCGGTCCTGAATAAATGAGAAGGATACACTTCTTCAGTAAGAGACCCAGGCATACTCAAAAAAAGAAATCCGAGTTCTTCCAACAGGAGTTGAACCTATGACCTTCGGTCTTTCTTTCTGAGTAAGTCTGGGTCACTCACTGAAGAGTTGTATCATTCTTACCTGATATTGGTTTTGTCCACAGAAAGAGGGCCTACAAGTGAGGCTGTTAATTGAAAGGTTCCTTTGCTCAAACGGTTAATTGAAATCAATTTTCTTACATTAGAACATACTACTTATTTGAAATGGAACCCCTCACAACTTCTCAGAAACAACCTACTTGAATTGTATTACTACAATGACAATTCATGTAAAAGCTCACCTTTGCAAGATCTTCGTTTTGACGGTTTCCATTGCCACGGCATTAGTCTTTCAGACATCCTCCAACTGATTCTTTGGAAGATCACACACTCTGTTTTCTGCTTGCAGCTGTTCTGTAAAACAATTAAGGACGGTGCCTACTTTTGTTAGTGCGCACACATTCTACACATCACACAAGGCGTGGTTTAAGTGTCACATGCGCGCTAGGGTTGACAATGACGCAATCAACTACGCTACCAGGTACACGACTAAAATGAAAGCAAAATTTTCCTACAGTGACCAAATCAAGTTTAATGAACCTGTACTTAAACCAGGAACACCACAATATAGTAGCATATCGCTAAGCACCAACTGTTACTGTCTTCCAGCTGAAAAACTATCTGTTATCTTTCGAAAATTGTACTGAAATCCAACTGTAAACATGTACCTGCAGATGGCATAGTGCGCACGCAGAACAAGTGTGAGACACGCAATTATTTTACTTACTAGGGAGGTGACAGGAAAAATTGTAACAGGCACTGTAAAAGTTTTCAAAAAAGATGAATAACTTTAAAAAATGCGTGATTACCCCTATGTTTAATGCTATGAAATGGAAGTGGCAAGCCTATTCAACACGTGATTAGTTTCTGGTTGTGAGCAAAAGGTGTTTAGACTGTACTTATTTACAAGAACACTTTAGAACAATGGGGTACACTGCAAAAAGGAGGAGGATTAGTGAGAGCCTGAACCAGGTAGATCTGATGAACACAGCTTTTAGGTGGGGTGCTTTAGTATCACGAAGAGTGTACTTTGTCCCGTGGCCAAATTCATTGTGGCACTTGATGGACATCACTCATTAATTTGTTGGGAATTGTAATTTACAGATGTATTGATGGCCATTCACAGTTTTAAATCACAACTTTAACACGATATTCTTTAGATAATATCTCACCAAGCATTTACAGCAGAGTGGTTAACCATATCTCGTTTGAAAGGAAACAAAAATAATCTCGTGGAAAAAATAGATTGCCTTCATAGAAAATAACATTTCGTTTACAAAAATTTCAATCAGGAGAACCAGCGTATAACTGGGCGTCTGTTCTTTACTGTTTGATAAGGGACAGTTGTAACTTGGATGGCCTTGATACACTGTTTCCAAAGTGTTGGAGGAACCTCTCAAGTAATTCAGAAAACAGACTCTTAGATCGTTTAACTGTTTTACATCTGAGTTTCATCGGTAACTAACTGATGTCAGTAACTAACTAACTCACCAACTGATCTTACTGTTCCCTCCAAGAGATCTTTATGGATTAAAACCTCAGATATGTGGCGCTCGCTGATAGCAAATGAATTTTGACTTAGAATGTTCTCGGTTCTCCCCATGAAACTCTTCACCTCTGAATCTTCATCCTTGTTCAAATAACCTTCTATTTTTGCTGCCATCTTTATTGTAGGTCCCAGCTCCCTGCTCAAATTTTCCCGCTTGACCCAGACCCCAAAATTGAATAAATGAGAGAAAAAATTGAATGAACAAAGACGGACTGAATTGAATGAATATAAAAATTGGATCAAATGAATTACAAATTGAATTAAATGAATATAGCAATTGAATTGAATGAATATAGAAACTGATTTGAATGAATACAGAAATCAAATTGAACCAATATAGAAATTAAATCAAAAGAATACAAAAATGAAATTGAATGGATCTGAAAATTGAATTAAATGAACAAGGATTGAATAGAATGACTATAGGAACTGAATTGAATTGAATATTGCTACATTTGGCTTCGCATAGTTACACAATCAATTCCTTATGGGGGCGATCGTGGTTTTGCCTCCTTTTTGTGTCGGAAATACTACAGATTGATGTTTTATGTCCCTAATGTTCCTCAACATCCATAAATGAAGTTGGAATCATTTTGGGAACCTCCAATCGATGGCTCATAGATTTTGGATTTTCAATATCCTTAGTCTTGGCTTTTGGATCTTCTTTACACTCATTTCTTTTAATTGCAGCACCCAGGTACAGGCATTGATGTGCGTCGCCGCAAAATCTGGGATCTGTATGGTGGAAATACCAGTCTTCAGGTACTGATCGCATGAGTCACTGCCAAGTTGAAAAGAATTATAACTAGTGAGACAATCTCAGATAGTGCAGAGCGCAATTGATAGCTCTGGTACAGTAGTCCCATAAGTACTCACCCATGCTAGGTTCACTTCAGGTTTGTGTCTACCTTGGTAGTCTGCTACGGCTTTTTCCCTTTGCAGTGTGTATGTTTCCAGGTTGTATTTTCGTTCAAGGTCCAAAAATTACACACAAATTAATTACTACTGGTGTTTTACATTGATTTTGGTTCATTTTAAATTCAATAATACGCTGAAGCAGCAAACGTGACAATTTAGCTCTTCACGCCAACTTTGTAACTTGATACTTTTGTTTTCCTCGCAAAGG